AATTTGAATAATTAATTTATAATCATCAATTTTAAATTAATTATAAATTTAAAATCATATAAAAATATAAAAAAATAAAGTGAAAGTTATAGAAAAAATAAATAATGTCTATTTCAATCATTTTAACATTAAAAGATCTCTTATAAAAAAATTTAACAAATAATTTTTCACTTTATAAGTACTTCTATAAAAAATTTTACTAAACACTTTCAACTTCTAAAAAACAACCCTCCTACAGCAAATTCTCTTTAATAAAACTTATATCAAAAAGCTCCAACTAAACCAAATAATCCCTTATAAAGGGTTAAATTTAAACCATTAAAAAAATGTATTTTAAATGTAACTTAACACTACTGAATCCGAGCACGCAAGTGCAATTAAGTAACTTTAATGATGCCGCCATATTAGAAGTATTCATTGAATAAAGCAAAATTTAAACTTGTCTTGAGGGATCACTGCATTGCTACTGTTTGGCCTGTAACAAATTTAAAAATTTTAAAGCAGTGCTAGGGGCACTCGCTTCCTGCACTCTCCAGCCAACACTGTCCCTTTCATTGGGCCACGTAAGGTTGTTTAAACTTTGAAGTGCAACCTCTGACTACTAAAACAACGTGGCCCAATGAAAGGGGCAGTGTTGGCCGGAGAGTGCAGAAAGCGAGTGCTCCTAGCACTGCTCAAATTTTTAATGGTCGTTGTAATGGAAAGTCAAATTAGAACCTCTCCTTGATTGATGAAAAACGTGGGCTTGGGTCCTATTCTTGGGGTTAAGAAGGTAATCAATGCGAGACGGGTGGAGAGTGTGGAAGAAGGGGACAACGTTCGGTATAACAACCTAGCATTAAAACATCATTCAATCTTGTCTTGAGGGATCACTGCATTGCTACTGTTTGACCTGTAACAAATTTAAAATTTTTAATCAAAGTCGTTGTAAGGGAAAGTCAAATTAAAACCTCTCCTTGATTGATGAAAAACGTGGGTGTGTGTTCTATTCTTGGAGTTAAGAAGGTAATAAATGCGAGACGGGTGGAGCACGTGGAAGAAGGAGACAGCGTTCGGTATAACTACCTAGCATTAAAAACATCAAACTAGACCTACCTCACGGGCGGATTAAGTCGGGTTAGAATCGGATTAATTTGAGTGACAAATTATATGGATTGGATTATAAATAGATTGTAAATTGAAAAAATTCAATCATAACGAGTTATAAATTAATTTATGGGTTGAT